CTCTCCTGACTTTTTTTTTGTTTGTGCAAATTGCAAGTGCTAGTGCTGACACATAGTGCATTGTGCCACAGAAGTCATATTCATGTTTGGGACTACATGACAGGGCTGTGTGGCCATCTCTGTCAAATGGCAATTTTAATGCACTATCCTGGCATCAACCAGGCTTGGTCGAACACAACACATGCTGACCTTAAGAAAGGCCAGTGGAATTGGCCTTCCCATTGATATTCATTTCATTTTGACAAATGATTTCTGATATATTAATTATTTATTGAAATCTGTTCATATAGGAAATTAAGTAGGCTTGTATACAGTTTCTTGTTCTTTTTTCATAAAAAATAAAATTCCATAGGAGTTTGTAAATGGCATTACACTTCCATATTGTATTTTATTTTGAAAACAAAAAATAAACAACTGTAATGCATGCAAGTCTAGAAATTAAGGGAAAAACACTATATGTACAAACATAATCATATATAGTATTTTAGCAGCCAGATCATCTATCACAAATCTTAAACTAAGTAACTCAAATACAGTACCCCAAAGTTTAAGCTAAACTAGATATTATAAAATTCAGCTTCTTGAATAATCGTATTAAAAATTGAACAACTTAGAAAATAATGTAGACAATGAGGGCTACATTGTTGTATATAGATATTACAATTTGAAATATTGATGTTACTTTGCTTTTGAAAAGGTTGCAGCAAAATGAAATTTATAATGAATAATATAATAATTAAACAATTTATTGGAAAAAGATATTTTAATAATAAAATAAAACAAAAATAATTGTCCTTAGTCATGAATAGATGCCCGGCTTATCTGTACCTACAATGAAACACATGTCAATTCACACCACTGCCTGACCTGTTGAATAAACATGAGTATTAAAATGATAATTGATATTAATTGTTATGAATAATTTATATCGAAACATCCATACAAGCTAAAATATGCATATATTCGGATCCATTTCACTGGGAGATGTATTATCGGTGCACCCGTGGATATCTGGTCTAAACTAGAGGTAAATTTTAGCGCATACAAAACCTTGATAATATCTTACCCATGAAATCCCTCTG